TTTGGGACCTGTGTATTTGTACTTTTCGTGAAATTTGGAAAATTCTTGGCTGGTTTCTTCAAATGTTTTTTTCTGTCCCTTTGTCTTCTTTTTCGGGCCCTCAAGCATGGGTGAGGTCACTTGATTTGTCTCCTGCCCCCGATACCCGTTTTGTTTTCCCTTTTGTGGGATGTTTGTCGGCCTTGTCAGGGGTGCTGACTGGTGTCTCTGTCGCGCCTTCCGTGGTGTTGCAGCCTGTGCTTCCCCGTCACATCCTGAAGTTCACACTGGGTTTTCCGCGTGTCCTGCACTTTGCACGTGTGGGCTGGGCTGTGACAGTCGCACTCCGAGGCAGGCCCGTCCTGGGTCCGCTCAGCTGGTGGCTCTCCTTCCCAGGCTCCCGACTGGCCCAAGCTCTGCAGACTGGGGCCCCTAGGTGGGACGCCAGACATTGTGAATTTTGCCTTGTTGGGCGCTGGGCGCCTTGGCGCTGAATCTTCTCAATCTTTGTTCGGGTGCCAGGGAACCGTGTGAGCCGGCCATGGAGAGCGGGTCCAGACGCTGTGACCTGGGTGCACGCCTGTTGCAGCCTGCTGTCCTTGCAGGGGGGGTCTCTGTGGGTCACCAGTTGGGCTGCCACCATCAGGCACACGGCCTGTCAGGCAAGGTGGGGCGGGGGGTGGGCTGCCGTCCGTGGCTGCTCCCGTCGCTGTGACTCGGTGGAGGGACGGGGGCTGCCTGGTTGGCCCTTGACTGCACTCGTGGGTTTGAAGGGGCTGCTCCCAGTCACTTGCCCAGCGGGCTGGGGGGCTTCTGTTTCCTCTAGGCCCCTCCTGCTCTGTGGGCTGGGCCTCCAGGACAAGGAACAGTGCCCATGAGGACCCAAAGCCACCCCTCACCTCAGCTGTCCCTCCACGGCCCCTCCACGAACCCCGAGATCGGCCACGCTTGGAAGTGGTCACCCTGCCAGGACCGTGTCCTCTGGGTACACAGCTGGTGCTGGGGTCTGTGCTGCCCACGCCTGTCCTGGCCCCTGGCATTGGGCACATTCTGTGTCCCTAAACCTGGATCTGCCCCTCTCTGCTGAGAAGGGCCTTGGGAAGTGGTGTGGACACGGTGTGGATGTGGCGTGAATGGCAGGAGCTGGGGAGAGAAGGCCGAGGAGCAGCTCCCCGGCTCCGGGAGGGCTGCTGTGGTGCCTGGCCAATCGCTGGGGCGTTGCCCCATCTCCCAACAGCAGAGTGGGCTTCTCGGCACCCGGCCACCCCTCCCTGAGAGCTCCCCCTTCCTGTCTATCTGTCCTTCTGGTCGGGTCCCCTAATGCACTTCTCTGACATGGGATTGCTGAGAAAATTCCAGAAGCATTGCTGGTGTCTCCGCTCTTCCCCACAGCCTTGACCGGGTGCCTGGCCCAAGGAGGCAGTGGGCAGAGCCCCATCCAGAGCTCGGGCTCCCAGCACCGGGCCCCAGGATTCCAGGGAGCTGCCGACCGGTCAGCCAGGGGTAGGAGGATGAACCCCCTGCTGCTGAGGGAGGCATCATGCAGGGCCCCCACGCCCCCACCCGCCTCTGCTCCAGCCTCGGGCTCCGCTGGCCCAGGCCTGTGGGGGGCAGGGGACTTAGCCTTGCGGTGCCGCTCAGCCACCTGTGCTGCCGTGCGCACACCACACGTGGGGCTTGAACCTCAGATGGTCACCGTCCCCCAGTCCTGGAGGCCGGAGCCCCAGGTCCAGGTGTGGGCCGGGCCGGGGCCTCCAGAGGCCTCTCTCCTTGGGTGTGGATGGCTGTCCTCTCCCAGTGTCCTCACGGGGTCAAACCTCTGCTCGTGTCTGTGTCCTGATCCCCACTTCTCCTAAAGATCCCCGTCACCTGGGATCAGGGCCCACCCCGATGACCCCGTATTACCTCAATCGCCTACGTAAAGTCTCCATCTTCATGTACAGTCATATTCTGGGGTGCTGGGGGTCAGGACCCCAACATAGGAATCTGGGGGACACTGTTCATCTCTGTCCCCACCTGAAGGGTGGAGAGTTACTGTTTATTCACTAAACTTTGGCCCTGCAGCACGATGGCAGGTGGAGTGTCAGGCTTGTTAACCCCGCATACACGGCCCAGGGGTGTGAGTGCTCACCCCCCTCCCCTGCCTCGCCTCCCAGGATCCCGCGAGCAGACAGCAGCTCCAGCCCCCAGCTTCCGCTCAGCAGGGCCACGGCTTACACACCTCACAGGCCCTACCTGGTGGGTTTGCCCCACAGAGAGGGGCTAAGGGGCCTCACAGAATGAGAGGCCTGTGGCAAGCAGAGAGGGTCAGTGCCACAGCCTCCGGGCACCAGGCGCTGCCTCGCCTGGGGACTTGGAGCAGAGGAGGGGTCGAGTCTGCTTCCGGGGAGGGCCATAGTGGAGGGCTGCCCCAGGGTCCCCTGCACGGACCCGGCTGTGTTCTTCTCCACCCCAGGCCCCTTCCTGCCGAGCTGTAGAATGGGGCCCGGCTTGGTGCCCTGAGACCCGGCAAGAGACTCTGCCATCCTGATGGTGGCTCCTGGGACTCTCCTTATCCCCCGGGCCACCTCAGGCTGCGGGTCAAAGGGCCTCAGGGCACAGGCTCCCCAGGGCAGAGAGAGCTGCTGTTCTAAGGAGGGAGCCTCGGCCCCAGACAAGGTGGGGGAGGGGCAGGCACGCAGCCCTCACGAGGCCACTCCCCACAGGCCCCCCAACGCGGCCAGACTCAGCGATGGGGGACCTTTGCCAAAGCGGGGTCTCAAGCGGAGCACGATTCCCGGTGCAGCACCTTCCCTGGGGTTCACGTCACAGGGAGCTGGCCCCGTGGAGGACTTGCAGGGCTGAGGGGGATCAGGAGGGCCACCCCCTCCAGGAGAGGGGAGCCCAGCCTGGAGAGGGGTCACCTCCCCTACAGGCCAGTCCCAGGGTGAGAGCTGCAGTCCAGGAAGGAAGTCGTAGAATGACAGCAGCTCCTGC